ATTAATATGCATTATTTTTTTTATTGTACAATTTAAAAATTAGAAAAAAAAAAAAGAAATTATATATACAAACCAATGGAACCATACTGACGACGGTACAGATGCCATTTATCGAATTTATTTTTATTTTTTTAAAAAGCCATTTCACTTCTTCTTCTTTTTTTTTCTTTTTTTTTTTCGAAATAAAAGCCATTTCACTTCTTTAAATATATATGAAATCAAGCAAAGCAGCCGCCTGCTTGAGCAAATACAAACAAGTTCCAATTATCATCCCGAAGACAGCTGGTAGATGATAGAGCTACGTGGTGCATTCTTCACATGCAATGCTGCAAGCCTGCAACGTTGCATCTTGCTACGCATCTTTTGTCTTTTCTTTGTTATAATAATTCATGATTACCCCGACGAGCTTTTAATCTTTACTGCTTTCTCTCTCACCAAGGGAAAAGCTATGGACTCGAATTCGATCAACAAGTTCATGAATACCAGACAATACTCGTGCCATTGCACGGGGACATATAATAAAATAATTTATATTTTTAATTATAATAAATTTAATTTTTTTATAAAATATTATTTATTGTTAAAAATTAAATATAAATTAAAATTTAATGTAAAATATGTTTGAGTAATTTTTTAATAAAAAATTATTAAAAATTTTTATTTATACTTATATTTATTTTTATGCATTAATTTAGAATACTATTTACATTTTTATACAAATAAAAAGATTTTTATAATATAAAAAATTAAAAAAAATAACTTAAAATATGTTTGGGTTGAGAGAAATATAGATATAATACCCTAAATCCAACAATGGTGGAGACTTATGAATAAACTTGGTATATAATTATAAAAACCAATCACTATTAATAATTTAAGTTTGAGCTTTTAAGGGTCCATAAACTTTGGATCAAAAAGTTGTTATAGGTCAATAATAAATTTCGATACAGGTTGTTTTAAGAAGGGAGGAAAATTTTTTTGATAAATCAAATTGTAATGTTTTTTAACTATTGCAATTTGATGGTCAAAGAATTTTCCCTTTCCTCAACCCAAACATATTATTAATTAAACATTTGATATGGAAATGAAAAATATTAATATCTTAAAAAAGAAGATGTTATTACTTATTTTTTTCTTCTTCTTTTTGAGAAAAAATGATAAAATTATATTAGTACAACAAAAGAGTGGTCATTAGGGTTGTTTTAGAAAGTGAACTCCTAATACATAACTAAGATAAAATGCAACCACAAGAGACAAACATTTATTAAAAATTAAAAAAAAAAAAGTTAAAAAAGGTGATGTTACCATCTTAATAAGTTGGTTAGTACACATATAACTATCACTATTGACATGTTGTAATGTTGAGCTACAATGAAATTCATCATGAGTTCTCTACAATTCAAAACATTAGAGATATTGGCAAATAATAATTGAATAGTATAAAAAACTCAAACCCAATGTTAATTTTAGAAACTCCCTTGATAACAATAAAGTTGAAGGTTATCCTTTATGTTTTACAATTTAACACTTACTCTATTAGTAATGCTTATATTTTCGACAAATCTCATAATTTAATTGTCATTATGATCTTTAAAGATCCCTCCTTTGCCAATAGGTTTGAGAAAGGTAACACCATCAATATTAATATTCAATAAAATATAGAGGAGGTTTATGCCAGTAAAATATATCAAGTTACCTATTAGATAAATCAGACTAAATAAGAAAAATTGACTAAAATTTATTAGTTTTATAAATAATAAGAGAAAGTCACTTAGAATCTTAAAATAAGAATTCTCATAAAACTTGTTATTTCTTCGTTACTAAATTTCCTAACTAATGAATGAAAACAAAGCAATCCAAGGGATTTTGGAACAAGAGAATCATCCATGCATTTACCTCTT